ATAGAGTCTTCCTTGCCAGCCTGATTTAACTGCCTCCCCGGTCTATCCTGTCATAGGAAAAAAAAAAAAAACCCACTGCCTCATCTGAGGCTTTGTGTCTGGTATGGTTAAAGTAAAGTAACTCAGACACACTGTAAACCTGCTTACAGCAAGCGCCCTGTTTCCTTTAAAGAAAACCCAAATACTTTCAACAAAACCATAGTGTAATGTTTGAGAAGGGTGTTTTTTTTCATATTATTCTCTACAATTTAGGTGTAATTGCTCATTTTTTTAAGCAAATAAAGACTAAGGAAGAAAAATATGTATTTGCTAAGTATTCTGATGTGCATTGACTTTGCCAGCTTGTCATTTTTTCCTGGCTAGAAAAGTACTTACTTCCTTTTCCCAAATGGTATGTGGTAAAGAAACCGTGGCCAGTACTAGTGAAGTAGAAAGAATTAACCAGCATCAGGTACATGCTCATTGGTGGCATTCTTTGACATTTTTTTTTTTACTGTGAGAAAGTTTTGTGCTATTGAAAAAAAGCTTTTAAAACACAAATATGTCTAGAGTAAAAGTAACTCTCCCTCAACTGTCTCAGGGTATTCTTCTGTGTGTTCTGGGTGTGTATAGCACATAGCCACATTCTCTCGTAAAGTAAGCATGCATGTTGTTTTATTAACAAATAGGATCAACTGCAGTCCTATAACTCCCTTTTCTACATGCTGATGGTGTATGTCCACACTGCTTCTTTCCAATAGGCTTGCCATGTAGCATAGCGTTTTCTTCAAAATTTGAAGTTTTTGGATCCCCACAAGATTTCATAACTCCCTCATCAGCAGTTTAAAATTTTATTTTTATTTATGTGTATGTCTGGGTCCGTGTGAGTGTGCGCACATGAATGCAGATATTGACAAAGGCCAGAAGAGGGCATTGATGGATCTCCTGGAGCTGGGTGACAGGAAATTGTGAGCTTCCAGATAGGAGTGCTGGGAACCAAACTCAGCTCTTCTGGAAGAGCAGCAAAAGCTCTTGCTATCTCTCCAAATCAGCAGCATGTTGTAAATTCATGGTGATTCAAGCTCATGTACATACTGTGACTTAGAAAGTATAATCTGATTTCGAGTAATGTTGAAGTTCTAAGAACCGTGGATGTTCTGGTGTCAGTTATTGGGCATCACACTGGCAGCCTCTCTTGTGTGGACGCTGGAGTCCCAAATCTTCAAGGTGGCTTTGTGTTTTAGACAGTCGCAAATATTGGCAAGCTGCTTCCCGAGTGCTCTGCATGCTGTGCTTTTCGTGTTGCTGGTGCAGTAATTGGTCAGCATGGGCTCATACCCGGGGAGGGGGAAGGGGCAGCAGCTGTGCTTAGTAAAAAACAGGGGCCGCCAAATGAGAGAGACCCAAGTTGGGACATCAGTGGGCTAGTGATGAAGGAAGCTGACCCTTCCTCTACTCATGGTGTCATGAGTAGATCTTGAACATGAATTGTAAAAATGGTCATGGGCCAGCAGCAGTCTACTCTGGGCATCTGTTCTTGAGACGCTAGTAAGAACTTGGTGCTGGTGTTCTTAGAGGACCAGTTTGAAGAGGAGTGAACATTTGCGCACATAAACTTTCTAAGTCTTCATGCCCCAGAGGAGCCCCTTGTGTCTTAAGGAGGGCAGTAGGTAAGCTGTTAAGTAGGCAGGAAGGACCTAGGAGCCCTGCATATACTTCTCTTCCTCTCCCAAGCCTGCTCAGTAGCTGGGCTGGGAAGGGACCATCTTAATGTCAGCTCCGAGAATGTTTTACACACATTGTGCTGTTGCCAGGTAACTGTGGAGATGGAGTTTAGACAGAATACTAACACACATTGCACTGAAAATTCAATTTTGTGGAAGATAAAAGAGTGCATTGGATGTTTCTATAAGTTTCATGATCGGTCTGGGGATAACCGCAACAGGCTCTTCTGTGGGAGCCCCGACATGTTGGCACATGTACAGATGGCAATGTTGTTATAGGGATGAGACATTTGCTGCCCAGACAGCCATTCACGACATGTCTGTAGCCACCCAGCCAGACATGCCCTAGTACCAGCCCTGGGGGCGGAGGTGGGAGCTGATTTAAGAAAGTTGCAGGGCAGGCATGGCTGGGCTTTCCAGCCTCTGGCTGTGGAGTTCCTCCCTGCAACACCAGGTATGTCATCCAGACTCTGCACTGCAGAGAACTCTTTCTCCATCCTTTCCAGGCTCCATGGGAACACAAATGAAACCTCTTCAGAAGACCATTTTCCACTGAGATTAGATGCTTTAACTATCAGCCCTCAGAGCCTGATGCCAGGCACAAGGGTGCTTAGGGACCAGAATGCCCAGGTGGTACATGAGGAATGAACAAAGCAGGAGGCAAAGTGGGCAATGCCTGGGTGTTCCGTCACCTCCACAGAGTGAGCGAATCTGTGGTGGGGAGGGGGAACTCAGTCCATCATCTGTATTCCCTTGCTCACAGTCCATGACTCAGGAGAGTGGGTCATTCAGCACAAAGGCCTCTTTGTTCTGGACCACACCTAGCTCACGGAGACTCACTCTGGCCTCTCTTCTCTCCTGCTGCCTACCAACCTCTCTGCTACAGGATCTGTCAGCAGGCCACGTGGCTCAAAGGCATGGGGATGCCTCCTCCAAGTGTCATTGTCTTGAGGAGAAGTTGAGCAGAGACTTGGGGCTGCAGGATCTAGCACATCATAACCCACACCTCTCTGCAGGAAGAAGGAGCAAGGACTCTGCCCTCCTCTCTTGTCTTCTTGGACACATTACACAACTGTACTCATCTCCACACTAGAAGAACGTAGAGTTATCTGGAAAGGGTAGCAAAGGGCTTGTCAACCTGGTTTGCTAGGATCTGCAATAGGAAGTGGGTGCCTGACCGGGGCCAGCAGGTCATTCTTCAGTGCCAGGGTCCTAAGTGGGAGGACCAGGAGATGAGAAAGAAGATAGGAAGCTGGGGTCAGAGGTCCTTGCACAAGCCATGTCTTATGCCAACCAAGCTTATTAAGAAGTACGGGGTCTTACATATGCCATATTAAAAACTGGGACAGCGTCAGCAGGAAGCTGCTCAGTGTTGTACTAGGAGAACGCAGGATACATCAGGGATGTCAGACACTGAGCACACAGCAATTTGAGGACTGATAACCAAAGCCTCTAAGGGTGGAAAGGGTTAGGTTCTCAAGTATCACTCCCAAGGCCCTGGCTCCAGACCATTTCTGGCTCTGCCAGGCATGCTCCTGGTTTAGAGAAGGAACTGCCGTCCATCTCTATACATCAGGGCCTCAGGGAAAAGCCTTGGGTCCATCCAGCCCTTGACACTAGTCCTTTGTTGGCAGAGTTTCATTTCATGTTGATTCTGGGTGGATGAAGGCCTCGCATGTGTCAGAGGTGGGATGTGGAGGCTCATCAGGAGAGCTAGCGGCTGAGAGCCAGTCGGAAGTCAGGCACAGACTGGCCTTAGAGGGACGTCTAGGATTTCACTTTGCACTGAACCACACCAGTGAGGACAGGAGAGAAAGAGACTTTCAGGAGACTGGGGCAGCCTACCCCAGGCAGTTGAGGGATTTGGCATGTATCCTAACAGATGAACTGCAGACACTCAGTTAAATCTAGATTTCTAGATTCCAGAAGAGGCAAATGGCTTTTTTTTTCTCCAGGCATGTCCCATGCAACATTTAAGATATGTCTAAAATGTATATGTTGTTTCCTAGAAACTTAATACGGTGTGTTACATTTCTATGTGTTTACGCTGGCAACCTTGCCTGGGGACGTGCCAGAAGCTCTAGGCCCAATATACAAGCACAGAAAAAAACAGAGATTACAATTTTTGAGTAGATCTTGTAAGTGTACTTGTTTATGGGAGATGTAAACTTAACTGGACTCCTGTATTCCTGTATAATTTGGCACCCATGCTTGGAGACCTCAGAAGACACGCTGGGCATCACTCATGGGTGCCTGAGTGTGCCTACAAGACACCCTAGAAAGATACAGGCGGCGTGGGAGGTGGGAAGCTCTCGGGCATAGCTGTATTCAAACAGGCTGTCAGAGAACCACTCACAGGTGCTGTGGAGGAAACTGGCCTGCAGATGTCTGGTCCCAGTGACGGTCTTGAATACAGCATCCGGAAAGAAGGAGGGTTATTATTTTCTGGGTCTTGGCTGAGCTGTGATTAGACAGGGATGGGAAGCTACTGGTAAAATCACCCACTGTTAGCAGCAGCAGGCTGGAGACCAGTTCTCTTGTCTATACTGATGGCCAACCACAGTCAGCTGGTGGAAAACAGCCCAGTTTGGTCTCTTAACATGGCCTCATCTTGCTCCAAGAAGTGCCACTTGACTGAAACATGCCTGTTTGTCTCTCTCTCTCATGCTGAGGATTGACGATGACTCCCTGGTCCCTTGTGTGTCCTTGCAGCAGAGAGTGAGGACCAACAGATGCTATACCTCAGTTCCCAGGTGATAATACGAAGCACCCACCCCCACTGGTCCTTGAAGGCAAATGATCTTTTGGCTACAGAAACAGATGTTACTTTTCTTAGATTTTCCGTGTGTGGATACACCAGGTCCACCAGTCAGTGTGTTAATCACAGCATCTCCTGCTTGCATCAGCCTGGTGTCTACACTGCAGGAATTACCCTCTACCCCTGGCAGGCATGCCGGATGGTTCCTCTTAGGCCTTTCCATGAGGTTCTTGTGACCTTGACCTGGAAGACAGGACTCAGGAGGCAGATCTACCTCAGCAAAGTCTCAGAGATTCTGGGATGAAGTTGTTCCTTGTTATTCTCATCCACTGGGTGTTGGAAGTTGATGTAATTGTGAGATGGGCCCTTCAATAGTATTCATTAAGTACAAAATGTTAAATTAGCTGTCAAGTCCAAATACCCACTGTAGCAAAGTGAAAGTGTTCACATTGATATTGGGTCTTTTCATTGAAATCACCTGTGTCACCGTACCCCTTTATTGCTCGAAGTGGCAGAGGCATCTCCCTTGTGTCTTCCAGGAAGGATCATCGAATGGCCCCTGTCTGACAACATGCACCACCAGTGGCTCCTGCTGGCTGCATGCTTTTGGGTGATTTTCATGTTCATGGTTGCCAGCAAGTTCATCACGTTGACCTTTAAAGACCCAGATGGTAGGTATGCTTCATGGCAGAGTGGATTTATGGCTAACGGAGTCCTTCCCCCAACTCTGTTCCCAGGCACCAAGCATACTGGGTAGCTGTCCTGACCAAAGTGGCTCCCAAAGTCTTCATGTGACAGAAAACGGGGAGGTGGGAAGGAAGATGGGTGAGTTCCTCCTGATGAGGTGTGTTCTTTGTGGCTGAAGCCACTGGGTCACCTTTGAGACAAAGATGCTTCTTTCCTGGAGCACTTCTGAGCACCTGGTAGCAAGGAGTGCCACAGGCTCAGCCAGCCTCAAGTCCTAAGACACACAGCCGTGGTTGCTCAGCTTGCACAAGTGCCAACAGTTTCACACTGTGTGATTGATGGTTATCTTCAGCGTATCGGAAGGAAATTGTTTAAATGTGAATGGTGAAGCTCTGTTGTAGGATAGCATCTCCCTTACTAGGCAAAGACTTGCAGAGGAGGCAGATGAAGAGTGCTCGATTTGGTCTCGGCCCACTGATTCTGCTACGTGTTCTTGTCAAGAGTTAGCCTAAGCTTTAATGTCCCCTTACAAAATGGACACACTCCCTGCTCTGACATTACCAGCTGATTCTTTACTCCTCTCTCTGTGATAATTATCAGGAGTTGAGGAGAGGAAGGGACACTTCGTGGGACAAATCATTAGTGGGGTAGATAGGCCAGAGATGCAGTTCTTAGGGGGCGGAGCACAGAGCCTTGTGCATCCTTCTGTGCTTCACAGCTCGTTAGAGGCTTGTCTCTACCACCAGTGTCCCCGCTTTTAGTGGCTGTAGAAGCCTGTAACATAGTAGTTTGAACAGTTGGCTATGGGCTCCTTTATATTCCCAAGAACACCTGGTATGTTCCTAGCTATTCGAAGGGCAATCCCCACCCCCCCTTCTCCATCTCCTCTGTCACACCCTTCCTGTGGAGAAGGAAAACTGTAAGCAGACATGCAAGTGGAATAGGGAAACCCGATGTCAGCCCAGGCAGTGATCTTCAGCATAGTTTGCACTAAGGGATGATTACAGACACTCAACATAGGGCACCACCTGGCTGCCATCACAAATCCCATATCTTTCTGACGTCCTTGGGAAACAGCTGATGGGATCTGCACAGCCTAGTGAAGGGGTGTTACGCTTACTGTATTGGATGTCCAGGGCCATCACGGTGTGCTTAGAACCATCAGAAGAGTGAGTTTCAAGTCTTGGAACAAGGTTGGGGTTTGAGCATCTGTCTCAGTGTCACAGTCGGGAGACTTTAGCAGTTTCAGCATAGTCAATATTGGTGACCTCTTACAAGGACCTATGTCACCTGCCAGGCTTTGTAATCTCTGCTGAGGACAGATGAAATATATATTTCTGAGATGGGCACCAGTCCCAAATGTGGAACAGCTGAAAAGCTGAGAGAACACACTGCTGAGACTAGCACATGACTTCTGAATCCTGACCTTATCTCTTAGTGAGGAAGGGCCGGAAGGGTGAGTGGAGTGATTAAAGTGTTTGTAGTTTAGTTTGTTTTAAACCCCAGGGCAGTACGTGCTATACATCAGTGAGACGTCTATCAGACATAGTTAAATAATTTAAGCCTGGTGACACACATCTTCTACCCTAGCTATTCTATTAGCTCATACTGGGGATAGATTGAGCCTCTGAGACCAGATGGACCACAAGTGAGGCTCAATGTCGAAAAAGAAAACACACACACTCACACACAAATAACAACAAAGGGAAAATAAGAATTAAAAATACACCCTTGAATTTTAATATTCTCTGATAGGAGATTTAAAGGAGTACCTTCTCAGTGGATTCTGGTAAAGGCAGTGTCACTGTGTTGGACATGGCCGCTGTGCTGGTTGCTCTTAGGAATAGCAAAAAACAGGCTGGAGAGATGGCTCAGGGGATAAGAGCATTGGTTGCTCTTCCAGAGATCCTGAGTTCAATTCCCAGCAACCACATGGTGGCTCACAACCACCTGTGATGGGGTCAGATTCCCTCTTCTGGTGTGTCTGAAGACAGCTACAGTGTACTCATGTGCATAAAATAAATAAATCTTAAAAACAAGTAATTTAAAAAAAAAGGAATAGCAAAAAACTTAAGAGACATTAAAGGTAAAAAGCCAAGAAGAAAACTGACAGCCTTCATTTAGTCGAGGTCAGAGGACAACTTGTAGGAGGTGGGCCTCTTCTTCTGCAGTATGAGTCCCAGGTTGGGCTCAGCTCATCGGGCTTGGCAGCAGGTATCTTGACCCACCAGGCCACCTTGCTGGCCTGCCCTTCAATATTTTAACTGAGACAAAACTCTTTAACCCAGCTCACCAAACAGCTCTGCCTTAAGGTTAATGATAGAAGGTAGTTCCTCTACGTGCTGACACTTGGAGTAGCCATGAAGTTCAGGGGAGGATGCTGTCACCCCAAAGTATGCTGTAAACAAAGACATCACAAGGATTGCTGTAAACGAAGCAAGGATACTTGGCACTCACACGGCTTAACTGATGAGTTCCCTGTCATGATTCAGTCCAGCAGTCACAGAACCCATCATTGTCTTTAAAGTATCTGGTCAGATCACAAAAAATCATCCTCCATTGGCTTCATTCTTCTTCATTCTTCATTCTGAAAGAACTTATACATAAAATATCTTGACAGTCTGAGTGATTAGGACAGGATGAGGAATCTGAAAGTTAAGTACACAGTGTGTACCCAAAGCATCACAAAGGGCCCTGGGCTGGGGACGCTACAGGCTTCCCTTCCACCTGGGATCCCTCTGGGGACCCCTGTCAGAGAAGACCTTTCAGCCACTGGCAAGCTGGGAAACATCAGAGGTGTCTGTCTGTGCATTTACAGCTATGTTCTCTCCTGCTGACATTTATTTTATATGCATCCAAACTGTTTTGGCTTTTGAACCAAGGGCCCCTGTATCACTGTGAGGAGGTAACGTATAGCGCAGTGGTCCTCAGAGTGAAGAACCATTTCTTATTGGGTGATCCTTGGTCTTGGTGTTTTGGAAGCAGAGTAACACAATTGCCCTTGGGCCATTCTTTCTTCCTGGCTCTCTTCTCTTGGAGCTGGATCCCTGGAGAGGAATCCTGGACACATTGTGTATATGTTTTCTTTATGTCTACATGTGTGTCATGATTTTCTTAACCACCTGAGCTGAACCAAGAGCTCATCTGTCCTGATCTACTGCTGATCCATGCTTTTGTTGCTCAGCAATAAAGCCTCACTGATACATTTGTACAATGACCTATCCTTAGCAGATTTCTTTTTCTATTGAACAAGAATCTGGTGTTAATATCCAGACTGTATCAAGGAAAATAAATCCAACCCAATGATGGGTATTCAATGTCAGGATTTGTCAAGATTTGAAATACTAAACAACTCTTGAGGGGGTCATGGATATTTGGATACATCTTTTTTTGTTTGTTTGTTTTTTATCTGTTGGACTTTCTATTTCAGCCTGTCCTTGGGCTGATTGAAGCCCCTCAGGTTGCTTCTAAGTGGCCGAAAGGCAGAACCCATGACTTTGGATATCCCCATACTCTGCCTGTAGCATGTGCTTGTGGCTGAGCTGCTAGGCTGGGGTGCAGCATTAAATAGCATGTCAGGCAGTAAGGAAACGTTTGTGACCACTTTTAGAAAGGTGAAGCAGAGTGGTCCTCCATTCACAATTGTAGGTACAAACCCATAAATAGCCATCATTGTGACTGTTAGCAGACATAATCTTAGACATGAAGATGCCCAGCCATGCCTCAGAATCTTTAGAAGCTGGAGACTTGCTTCTGAGGGGCTGAGTGGTGGGAGGGACCAACATCTGACCACAGCAGGGATACTGGCAGCTGCTGAAGACAACTCTCCACCAGCTAAACTGCAGAAAGCACAAACTAGGCCACGCTGTGTTTCTTTCTTTGTCTGTGGTCAGATAGGGTTGGGTTAACCGGGAAGAGAATCCTTGGAACTTAAAGTCCTGAAAATATTCACTTCAGGGTAGTGACTTCCCAGTGCCCCGAGTGTGAGAAATAGGTTGTTGTCTAGAAGTCACTGGCAAGTTGGTTATTCAGCATGCAGAACACATTTCTCTAAGCACAGAACAAGGAAACACAGGTTCCACAAATCCATTTAGCATGTCAATGCCCAAAGGTGACAGGTTGAGTCAGTAGAGATTGGGCCACACAGCTTAGGCAGCAAGGCCACTGCAGTGCAGCCAGGAACCCTGGATGGGGGGCTACTTGCCTTCTTCCACCAAGCGTCACATATGCTACCCTTTGACTGTTTTGGAAGAGCTTGTGTTTTTAGCTCCAAGTCAGAGAGAAAGATGGCTGTGGGGTTTGTGAGGCTGTGCAGCAGGGACTGTCGGAAAGCCCAGTAACTGAGGTATGGAGCAGAGTGTTTTTATTACAGCACAGTAGGGTGCTTTCTAACTCAGTACAGACAAGAACCAAACCAGAGGCAGCTGTTTAGTAACCTGACTGGGTGAGCCAGGAAGGCATTGCAGTTAACAGCGCTAGCCACTCTTCCAGAAGAGTTCAATTCCCAACACACATGCCACAGCTCACAATTGCCTGTCACATCAGTTTTTCTGGCCTTAGGTACCAGGCACAGGTGTGGTACAGATACATGTGTAGGCAAAACATGCACACAAAGTAAAATCAAATAAAGATAAAAATAATAAAATAAATTTCAAAGACTAGCTAGACTGGGATAGCCTGGGGCTAGAGTAAAACAGGCAACATGTAGGTGTTCCCCAAGAGGGGGAAGTCTTTATTAAATGAAAGAATACTTTTGCATATTTTATGTGCTTGTATTGTATATTTGTGTTTCTGTGAGACTTTAAAACTTTTTTAAAGTTCTTGTTTGTTTTCAGAAACTGATAGATTATGTCCAGATTGTACCTGAATAGTTCCTACAAAATCTTTTCAAGATTCGCTTGGCCGAGTCTGCCCCCTCGTCTGACTACAGTCGTATGACTTCCGGTGTGAACAAGGAAATTCTAACTTGATTACTGAAGTTTTGTTTTTGTCTTCTTGTTTGTAAATTAATTTTTTTGACTGGAGATCACTGAGGAGTGACATATAATTGTAAGAAATGCCACAGAGAGGCTGGAGAGCTGGTTCAGTGCGTCCTCTACAAGAGGTCCTAGATTTGATTCCCAGCTCCCACACTGACAACTCACAAGCTTCTGTAACTCCAATTCCAGGGCACAGGATGCCCTCTTCTGACACTCAGGCACCAGGAACACACATAGGGCACAGACATACATTTAAGCAAAATAATCATACGTATAATTTTTTTGAAAAGAAAAAAATAGAGGATAGGTAGATCCTGTGTTTTGTTTCTCCTCTGGCCCCACATGGTGCCTGCTCACAGACCTGACTGCAGGGCCAGAGTTGGGATGTGGCACAGGCACAGAACACCTCTGTCACCATGAGGGTGCATCACATCACCCTTGGTGACTATTGTCTTTTGGTGCTGGTTTAGATTTTTTTGAAATCTAAATTCAAGTTTCATTACAGAGCTCAGGTTGACTAGAAATTCCATTCCTCCTGCCTTGGCCCAGGAAGTGCAGGGATTGTAGCGGTATATACCACTCTGCCTGACCGTGTTGTCCTTTCTAGCATATCCACACCCCCTCCTTAGCCTCAGCTCCTGTGCCTCTATACAGTTGTATCTTTTCAGAAGCACCTTGTAGCATGGGACCTGTTTGACTTTTCTCATTCACACAATTCCATTGAGTATTCATTCAGCATGGTCGAAGTGTTAGCAGTGACTCTTTAATTTCTACTGTTCAGTTGTATCTCTATCTCTCTGTATAGATATAGCAGTTTGCTAACTATTCACTCATTGAAGGGTATGTGGGCTATTTCTGGTTTGAGGTTACTACACATGAAGCTGCCGTGAACATTTGTACATGGGTTTTTGTTTTAATATAAATAAATGTTCATTTCTCTGGATTAAATGCTGAGAAACACAATTGCTGGGTCTTGTTATCATATCACTTTTTCTTTCTTTCAAGAAAATTACCAGACCCTTGTGGGACTGCATAAGGGTATTCTGGGTCATGGCTAGGTAGTTGCCTAGAACCCCGAGACTCTGCGTTGAAAACCGACAGGAGTTCGGTGTGCCCCAAGAACCCAGGGTCCTGAAAAGCAGTCTAGTCTCCATAGAATTACATTGTTCAGTCACGTAGGTCATTGCAGCCCCTCCCAAAGTGCACTGGTAGAGGGCATGACTAGAGGCCTCAGCCCCTAGGGATTTACATACTAATGAAGGCCAGAGGGTGGAGCAAATTAAGCATGCCTCCCCAGATCCTCCCCCGATCCTCCCCCTTTCTCCCTCCCTATTTAACTCGGGACTGCCCTGAGTTTTATGGGGGTACTTCCAGATTCATCCACCATCCGCCATGACAATAAACCATTTTGGAACCAAGGACTTCCTCGTGTTATTGGAGCCTGCCGCCGCCAAAGCCTCAGGCCGCTGGAACCCTAGACGTTCCTCCTACATGTGGGACCCGCCACAGTGTGGAAACCCACTGAGACTCCACAGCTGTGGCCTATAATATTTCCCCACAGACCCTTTTCCACCTTGGCTTTATCATACTGAAACATTGTATACACAAGCAGGTTTCTCCACATTGCGGCCTTTGGTTGCTGTTCTTTCTCACACATTCTGATGGGTCTCTGCTACTGTCTTCCTGTGATTTTGATTTGTTTGCCTTGTGGCCAATGATCATCTTCAGTGAGCTCGCCCCTGCGTGTCTTGCTCCTGTGTGCATTGGCTTGTTTCGTTCTTAAGTGTCTCATCTGTTAACTTCTTTGTGTTTGCTCGATACAAGCTCTCTGTTGAGTATGGGGCTTGTAAATGCTTTCTCCCAGGCCACAGCTTAGCTTTTCCTCCTCTTCAGATAGGCCTTTGCAAAGCCCAGGTTTTAAGTTTTGATGAAGTTCAGTTTTCTAAAGGTTTTTGTCTTTTTTGTTCACCTTTTAAGTTTCATGGCTTCATATTTTCAAGGTAAGACCGTGGATGGTTTTCGGTTCTTTTTCAAAGGTGTGGATGAGGATTACGTGTTGGCTCATTCTGTCCATAAGGTCCACTTGCTCCATTTCTCTTTCTCATACAGACTGACCTTCAAGTTGGGTTGCCCTTGCCAGAAGCCATCGGGATGCAGCTGGGTGGGTGTAGCATCTCCTGGGATGACTTTCTGTCCCACCGATCTCTGTGCCCTGCCCTCAGTGAGAACGTATGTTTATCTGTCCTCCAGGGTATAGTGCCAAACAGGAGTTTGTGTTCCTGACGACCATGCCGGAAGCAGAGAGACTAAGAGGAGAGAAGCATTTTCCTGAAATCATAAAGGTGAGCATAACGTTTGTTCCTCTGACATGGATACTGCTTTCCTGTGGGAACAGTGCACAGGGGCCCTGTCACATGGGAGTGGTTTCTCCCAGTGGCTCTCACAGGTTCCGCCTATGTCAGTGCACCTTCGTTTATGGTACAAGTTGAGAATTCTGAATCTGAAAATCTGACATATGAGAAGTGCACACTCAGAAAGTGTTTGAGCACCAACATGGTGCCTCAGTGGAAATTCCCACACCGAAAAGCTTTGTCACATGCATCAAATTATTTAAAATATGGCTAGGGCTGTCACTCAGTGCTACAGCTACTGCCTAAAGTGTAGAAGGCCCAGGGCGTAATCCCCATAACCCCCAAAATGGTATAAAATTACCTCGATGTGTATATTAAACATAAATGAATTTCAGGTTTGGATCTGAGTCCCTAAAACGTCTCATTGAATAGATGGGAATATTCCAAAGTCCAAAATAACGTTCTAAATTCAGTGCATTTCTGTCCCCAAGCATTTTGGACAGGGGACAGCAAGGGTTATTCAAGTTATTCCAGAGTGGAACTCTGGGGTCAGAGGGAACATGGGACCAGACTCCATACTATATGAATGAGCAACTGAATCCAAGACAAGGGAGAGGCCCCCAGATGGCAGGGCAGATAACAGGGCCTAGTCCAGCTGTCAGCTTTCATGGAGTCTTCGATGCCTGGTTCCGACTCTATGTGTTCCTCTGCAGATCCACTTCACATAGCTCTCTGTGTTCGCTGTCCGGGAGAGGGGTGCAATCAGGAAGGCTTCTCTTGTCAATCGCATGCTGGGTCTGGAAGGTGCAGATCACAGTTAGGCTGGAAAGGATGAAGAGTTCACTGCTAACGATGTTTGTCAGTTTTAGACCAGACTAAGACAAAGGGCAGCTGCTGCTTGGTTCATGGTATGAAAATGGCAGATTAGAACATATTAAGAACAGAAGCATCCCTGTCAGAGGCACAAGCATCGCTGTGGTTTCTTAGCAAGACGTTCATGTAGGAAAGACCAGGTCTGCAAAGCTCTTTTGAGATAACTCAGTGGGGATCTTTAATAGAAAATATTTAAATACATGAATAGAGAATACCACAAGGGTGGGTGAGCTATTCCCAAAGCAGTTTGAGGTGAGGGCCTCCATTGAAAAGATACTGTGTCAGGGAAAATAGGTCTTCCCCTGTAGTGGTCCTTTGCAAATTCAGAATGCCTCTTAGAGAACACACACACACACAGAGGAATATATAATGATCAGTCTATACATTACTGGTACAGCTCCTCCTACCCGTCCTCCTCAGTTCTTCGTCTTCAGACCCCATCCTCTTCCACACACACACAGTGACTGTGCTGTGCACACACATATGCACACACACTCTCTCCGTGCCACACATTTGACCCAGCTAAGGCATTCTTGGGTATAACCATCGAACCTCGCTGCCACACACCCAGTCAAGACTAAGTAGCTATGAAGCGAACGGTCCTGCTGGCCTTCAGAGTCGTGGAAGATGGGGGAGGGCTTGGGTCCAGGACTGTTTGTGTCAGGGATGCTCTCCCCGTTGTGGAGTAGCACCGTACACTGCCTCTTCACTCCGAACTCCAGCTTACTCACCGTTTCAGCTGATCCGGTCAGTCTTCTAGGAAAACCAACCACAGGAATCAAGTGCACATCTCTTCTCCTGGGCACCTGTCTCTATCTGGTTTGTTGTTGTTGTTGTTTGTTTGTTTGTTTTTTAAACTCAGAAGGGCTGGAGAGAGAGAGAGTGGGGAAGAGCCATGTGAAGTGGCAGGAGACGTGTTTGTCACTGTAGAGATGGGAAGAAAGCAAGAGAAGGGGGCTTCAGGAGCTTCTCCTGCTTTATACTCACAATCCCTCTGCCTCCTCCATCCCTCTCGCTTACAGCCAACTGGGAAGATGCTTTCAGACAGCCATCCTGATCAGCCCCCGGTATATCTGGAGCGGCTAGAGCTCATCAGAAACGCCTGCAAGGAGGAGGCTCTGCGGAACCTCTCACACACCGAGGTCTCTAAGTTTGTCCTGGATCGAATATTTGTCTGTGACAAGCACAAGATTCTTTTCTGTCAGACTCCCAAAGTGGGCAACACCCAGTGGAAGAAAGTCTTGATCGTCTTAAATGGTATGTGTGGCATGTGGGGGTGCCCTCTGCAATGGGAGAAGGGGCAAGGGTGGCATCGATGACGGGGTGGTTTATTTCGGAAAAGACCCATGACCTTCCTGAAGGTTCTCGGTGTTGTTTTCCACACTCCTGTTACACTGTAAAAATCGGTGGGGTTAACCTGTTAGTTTTGTTTGTACAGTGCCAGCCAGGAGACCTAGGGCTGTGTGCATGCTTAGGTAACCTTTCTACCTCCGAGCTGTGGTCCCATGGGTGGCTCTAGCTGAGATGTTTCAGTCAGAACCAAGGGCAGGATTTCCTGGGTTTTCAGAGACATAGCTGGCCACCCCCATCAGTCCTTCTTCCTTTCCATGGTACATGCTGGGTCTGTCTTGAGTACTGCAAGGCTCTCACATTCCCTGAATAGTCAAAACACCCACAACCAGAGCCTGGGAAGAGACTCTTGCCTCCTGGGCCTGCAGGCAGCATCACCTGTACACCGAGTCTTTCTGTGCTGGCTGCTTGCTTCAGAAAAATCTGACATTTTCTGGGGAATGAATTAAGTCATAGAAAAATGAGTTCATACACTATGGTTCTGATTACCCACTGCTCTGCTTAGACAACAGGTTTGTTTCGATCCCAATTAGTCTAAACTCACCTGAAATAATTGTAGCTGCCGGAGGCCATGAGTCAACCGGGTTCACCTGAAAGGGGGCTGGGAATGAAAGGAGGACGGAGGGCGAGAAAAGATGACGCCAAGACAAAGGTCTCTGAACAAGGCTCAATGTTTTAATGTTCAGTTCTCAATTTAAAGGGGAAGGCCCTGCCCGAACCCTTCCTAGTTTCAGCCCGGAGAGATGGGTGGGATAACCCATTCTTGCCAGAGATGTCTCAAGGCAAGCCCAGGAGCAGTTCTTCTTTCAAGTTCCGTGCAGCCAAGGTGGGTAACTCCACCTAGATCCTTATCACGTGGTCTGCTGTGGTAAACAAGGTCTCTCAGGCCTGCTCAAAGGGGGGCACAAATAATTATAGGGTATCTGTTAAAACTCAGCTCCGACTGACTGAGTTCCAGCAAGCAGAAGTCACACCTGGGTACCATGGGGCAGGTTCCTGGGGTTCAGCATTGTGCCCACAGCTCCCAGGCCCACCCCTGGCATTGCTGGCCAGTGTCGGCTGTCATTTGCACTTTGTAAAGGTCAGTCACAGGGCAGAAAGGACAAGGGCTCTCCCTCCGGATACATACACGGTGTGAAGTTAATGTGCCCCGGGAATCATATGCCAGTGTGCTGGGTTTCTGAATGGGAGGTGAAGGCTATAGGGTAAATTGAAAATAAAGAGTATACAGAGAGGCTCACATAATGGGCCATGGCAGTCGGAAGCATCATAACTCACTCACAAGGGCGGGACAGAATAGAAGAAGGCTACATGAAATATGTGTGTCAGCACACCCTACTGATGTAGGTTCTGGGACTCACACACACACAGCAAACTTCCTGTGTATGTCAGAATCACATACTGTTTCAGTTACAGTACAGGTACAGTTAGAATTTTTTTTTTAAATTGAAAACAAAGAACCCTCCTTGACATCGACACAAGCAACATGGTCAGCGAGAAGAAAAAATACATTTATTTTAAGAAAGCTCTTAACATCCAACTCACTGCTTTATCTAGTTGGAAAAGTCAGCTTGTCGGTTGTTAAAACTGTGTGGACTCATGCAATGCTATTTCCTAAAACAGAGAAGAAAAATAAACCCTAAAACTAAAAGTGTAGGCCTGGGCTGACCAGGCCATGTAAAGCAGGGAGGTCCTTATGTCCTGGCCGTCCTCTGCTGACCCCCCAGTGTGCTTGGACAGTGAGCAGGCCCAGGCACAGATCCAAACCACTGGCTCTTCCACTCTCTCCTTATATACTGACAGCTGTTGGCTCCTCAGGATGGTTAAGGAGGAGATTTTATTATGGATATGAGAGAGAACAGCCAGAGGCATCTGGAAGGATCCAGAACAGAGAGGAAAAATAGTAGGTTGAACATGGCCAGCAGACTGTGGGAGAGACAGGGGAAGAGCAGAGGTAGTGATGGATGGAGCCAAAGAGAAGACAGAGAGAGAGAGCATGTTGAAGAAACAGTAGGGTTATAAGGAGAATGAGTGCCTGGGGTGGGGGGTAGAGACTATGCTGGGGGCTGTTTAGGGTCAGGAGGAAGCAAGAAGAGCCAAGATCCCAGCACGAACTCTGAAACGCATTAACAAGTTCTTGTGACACTGAGGGAGCCTGAAAGCAGGTGGTGCTTTGCTATGCTGACAGTTCTTCCTAAAGCTCACCACAAATCACCATTTGTCCCTCCTTCCAGCGATAAGGGGAATAATGGCTCCTTTCGGAATGGGGAAGCCGGCTTCACAAGTTCCTGAGCGAGGAGTGCTAGCTTTTTTTTTCCAACCACCAGAATTTGGGGAATCGAGACTCCTCAGGGTCTGGCACCCCTCATCATGGTCAAATATGCCCACCACAGCACATCACGGGCCCTGGACCAGGGCTTAAGTGGTTGGAAGAGAATGAGTGAGTGAATGGAGGCTGTGCTTCTCACATGGGTAGCTCAAGAGAGCTTGCTCTTGACAGCACTGCATCAGGATAAGGCCAAATGTTACAGTTCACAGAAGCTGGATAAGCCCTTCAGGGTCCTCTCACCCTTTATCTCCATCGGGAAAAGAAAAGTCTTGCCCTCACCCATCCTCTACAGAACCCTGGTCCCACTGACTCCTCAGACACGGCCTCTGATGCCAGCTAGGAATTTTCATCATCAAGTGTTTCGTGTAGCTTTTGCTACCCCGCCTAAGCTCCGAGAATGGGCTGCACTATCAACCCCCCACCCAGCTTCTCTTGAATCCACAGATAAAAGACACACACACACCATTGTTCTATTTCAACTTGCTTTTTGACAAAATTGCTGGGCGCTATTATCTCCCACCTGAAGAAGTATGCCCTTATCAATATTCTTAGCTCTGCACCTCTCAGCCTGTCCTCAACTTTAGTTGCTCAGTTACATCAAGTCCCAGATAAACATTCCCACCTGCCCGCAGGAGCAACCGTTAGGGCCACTCTGCCTGAGATCTCATGTAACTGGTCACCTTTTCTCCATCAGGAACATGGCAAACTCTTTCTCTCTCCTCTCCTTTCAGTCTCTCTGTTTGCCTCCAGGGACCTGGAAGTCCCGGCTATTCCTTCCACCCAGCAATTGGCCCATGACTTCTTTACTGACAGATCAAGAACCAATTGGGGAACAGGACCTTAGCATCAGACCCACCCTTATAATCAAGAGCCTGTGTCATTTGCCATGCGCGCTGCCATGGGGTCTGTGAGACACTGTTGCTCTGGTAGTGCTGTGCTACAAGAGCAGAGTCTGCCATGGAGGTGAGGGCTCGGCAGTGCTGGGGGCCTTGGTCAATACTGTGTTCATGTCATGTCCCTCTAGCATCTCCCTCCATTTCAGAAATCATAGAACAAGCACTGCCAGCTTTAGGAAGATTTAGCCTCCTGGATACAGGGCCAGGGCTGTGGGCTATCAGTATTCTTTCTGTTTCCTTCCCTGCCAGTCAGCTGATGGATACAAGAGCTGCGCTCCATTCTCTTACTGCCTCTGGCTGGAGTTCAGGGTGGACACGTGGACATCAGCTGTGGGCTTCTAATGTGTGCTGTGGAGATTGTGGGGCCTGAGATGCCGCTGATGGCACCTCTAAGGGTCATACTGAGGCAGTCCATGCACTGTCTCCTTTTGTTCTCCCCAGGAGCGTTTTCTTCCATTGAAGAGATCCCTGAAAATGTGGTCCATGACCATGAGAAAAATGGCCTTCCGCGTCTCTCTTCCTTCAGCAAAATAGGAATTCAGAAGCGGTAAGGGCGACTTTTTTGGAGGAGAAGCGTGAGGGTAGTTTTTTTAACAAAACCCCAGGCTCAGTTTGTGCTTGTTGTGTAATCCATAAGGCTCCAGGCTCAGTTTGTGCTTGCTGTGTGATCCACAGGGCTCCAGGCTCAGTGTGTACTTGCTGTGTGATCCACAGGGCCCCAGAGATCTCAGGGCCAACTGTTTCATCTTGGCATGCAGTGGCCAACAGTGTCCTTAGTGTCCTGCTTACTGCACATCTCAGCCTCCTGAGAACTTCAGAATCCCTTTCCCAACCTTGTCACAAAGGCCCATTAAAGTGTGCATCAGATTATTGTCAGGAGTGGGAGCACTTTAGTGTGTTGGTTTTAAGTTCTTATGGATTCCTAACTAAATAGGATCATTGCTCCATGATAAAGAAAGTGCTGCACACTCTGCCAAGTTACTGCGCCTACTTCTGCATGGACTTCCCACTTCGGTAGTAGTGTGTGCAGGTCCATCACATGGAGACAGGCCCCTTTGACTATGGCAGTATCGTCAGCAGCTAATGAGAGGGAAAGCTCTCCTGTTTTAGCTGTGAGGTGGCTTTACAGAGACAGACTGAAGAGCTGCCCCTCAGTGTCTGGTCCAGCCTGGGCTTGGCCCTCCTGGCTTTTCAGTCCTTTGTTCTTTGTTGCTTCTGGCCTTGGGTAACTCAGTCTTCACAACTCTACAAACTTGTGTCAGAAATTGTCCTGGGTATGGACTATAAGGGACTCTTCTTGGGGCTTCATGAGACTCCATGAATTAAGACAGGCAGCTCATGGACAAGAAACAGCTGCTGGCTTTCAGGTAAGCACACTGTGCGGGTAATGTTGCCACAGACCCAGTGATATCACTGTTGTCCCTGTCATACCACCACAGACCCTTCAGGACCATGGCCCTATCATGCTGCAGCTTGCCTGGGGCACCTTCCTATCCCTCGTCCCATCCTTCCCTTTCATTCGGGCTGGAATCTTTAAAGCTGTGTCCATAAAATAAGCCTCCAGCCTCAGTAAATACAGACTCACACTTCCAGCCTTGCCAATTTCCTCCCCAGGAACAAAACTTATAAAGGGTTTTGAAGTTTTGAATCAGCCAATTAAAATAAACCTTTGATTCAACAGTTTCGCACCAACCTCAGAGGCTTTGAGCAGTCCAGTTTGCTAAGCCTCTGTTTTCTCACCTGTAGAATGGGTTGATAGCAATGTTCAGTCCACAGTACTCAGAGTGCACTGTGTGTGTGAGACAAACTCTGCAGGACCCAGCCTGGCATTACTCCCTCTCCTACCCTCTCATCCATTACCTCCTGGAACGTCCGTCTCATCTCTGACATTTTTTCTTCCTCAGATTGAAAACATACTTCAAGTTTTTTATTGTGAGAGATCCCTTTGAAAGACTGATTTCTGCCTTTAAGGATAAGTTTGTTCACAATCCACGATTTGAGCCTTGGTACAGGCATGAGATAGCCCCAGGCATTATTAGGAAATACCGGAAGAACCGGACAGAGACCCGGGGGATCCAGTTTGAAGATTTTGTGCGCTACTTGGGTGATCCAAACCGCAGGTGGTTAGACCTTCAGTTTGGGGACCATATCATCCACTGGGTGACCTACGTAGAACTCTGTGCACCCTGTGAGATAAAGTACAGTGTGATTGGACACCATGAGACGTTGGAGGCAGATGCCCCATATATCCTGAAAGAAGCTGGCATAGACCATCTGGTGTCCTACCCCACCATCCCTCCAGGTATCACCGTGTACAACAGAAGCAAGGTAGAACAGTACTTCCTGGGCATCAGCAAACGAGACATCCGGCGTCTCTATGCACGGTTTGAAGGGGACTTCAAGCTCTTTGGGTATCAGAAACCAGATTTCTTGCTAAATTAATGCATAGGACCCTTGAATATTGCTAGACTAGGGGCTGGCTAGGTGGAGGTCTGAGCACAGAAGCAGCATTTCCTCTACCATGTCCCATGGTTCTGTGCACGGACGATGTTGGGCTCTGATTACCTGCTTAGCTCAGGTGACAGATGCTCTGATGACTCCCCTCCCCAGCCTCTGTCACCCCCATGAAAGGTTAGGAAAGACGGATGTTTGGAGACAGGTGGACAGACCCAGAGGGTGTGTTAGGAACCTGCTTCCTTCAGCTGTCACGTTGTCATTGGCACTGTGTCAGCTAACCAGTGGTCGGGTAGTGTCATCCATGACCTGTGGACTTAGTGCTTTCAAGAGAGATGGAGATGCCGGACAGACGGCTGCAGAGGTTACTGGGGCCCATATAGCATTGAATCTAAGCCAGAATGATACCTCTTTCTTCCATTTTGGCACAGCAATAGCCACAGAAGCAGATCACATGCCTCTTAAGCTTCAGGCCCTGTGACATTTGATGGTGATAATAACAGAACAGTTTGAGAGGTCTGACCTTTCAGGACCCAAGCTAGCCCATTTTTCAGGACTTCTGACCCTAGAAATACCTGCTTCACTCTGCAGAAGAGATTCCTTTCTGGAAAGTGAGGGTATTATCGGAACATCTTTGAGGACTTAGAGCTTGGAACAGGGAAGGAGGAACCAGCCTGTCTTGAGAACTCAGGCTGCTGTGGAATCAGGTACCGTTGTCTTTGTAACTGCTTTTGTCTTCACCTGCCCCATCAGAGTGAGCAGCAGGGGCGTTTCCACCTGTCTCCTGAATGAACCTCTCTGTCCTGAAATGGGAGAAAAGACACAGCATTTCCAGCGGAAAGAGACAAGCACTTGCTGACATGCCGTGAGGACACACAGGCGTGCCATGCCTGCATTGCAGAGTCCAGTGCTGTTTACAACTGCCAGTCCATTCATGTTGGCAGACCGGATCCTATGGCCCTGAGTCTAATAGTGCCACCCTCCTCCACTGAAAAACCACAGTTGGGTAATCAGATTCATCAGCAATAAAATCCTGGGTGAGGCCACCTCTGGTGACATCATCCAGGTAGCAAGTCACCTAACGTGGCACTGAGGCCAGCTCCAGCAAGAAGAAAGCCACAGCAGCTGTCTCAGCTGCCAACCAGCAGCAAAGGGCTATTAAAGATGGACAGGACAGTTTCTCTGAGTGAGTCGCTGGAACACTCATCTTCCCAGGGTTGAGAGGAATTGTACTAGCTTTTCCTCGAGGCTATAGCTCTATTCTCAAAAAGCCTTTCCTGAACTTGTAAATGTGAAAGTAAAATAAAATTTAAAATGTGTGCCAAATCTGACCCATGATTCCCTGGGGCAGGGGCTCCAGGGCCACGGGTAACTCCTGGGGTGAGGGATGGAGCTGGGGACTGGAAGGAGGCTCAGCCCTTCCTCGTGAACTGACATGCCATAAACATGATGTTGGGTTATTTGTTAGTGAAGTTTTAGCAAAACCTTCTTAAAAATCACTCCAGGCCTGAATTGCTGATCAGAAATCTCTTTCCTGTTTTTGACAGGCAACAGTGTCAATACTGTGTGTGTGAAGTTAGGGCCTTCAAGTTAGTCTTGATTAAAGCAACATTTTCTCTCAGAAACTAAAGTGTGTCTGGGTTTGTTCAGATTTTTTTTTCTATCTCTCTTTCTGGAATTCTGGTCATTTTCCTAACACACTTTGCCAAATAAGTAAATATTTCTACCACATACATCTAACAGGCCACCTCCACACACCATGGCTCCTGATCCCAGACAACCAACATCCCCAGAGTGGTTCAATTTGATACCCCTCTCCCAAGGTCGTGGAAGATCCTTCTTGTCTTCGGAATCATGTTCCTCCTCCTTTTCATTCAAGGAGGCCATCCTCTCCCTGTGCCCTTAGGGCACTGCCAAATCCAGGCTTCAGCTGCTCTGCTTCCCACCCTGCTCAGACGCAGCACAGAGAGAGCATTGCACCCCCAAGCTTCACCTCAGAGTTCTACTCTGCCCCTCACACCTGATCTGACCTGGGGTCTCATGGCTGAGGAACCATGCTTTGCTGAAGGGAGCAGCACACTCACATCCTAGACTCGCTGGGGCAGTAGAGTCACCCTCACAGCTCTGCAAGATGGACCTGTCCCCTTCAACTTCAACTTAAAGCTTTGGAAAGTGCGCAAAAGACTGCAAGACATTGGTCCTGCCCTCCCTCCAGTGTTGGCAGCCTCAGATGGTTCCTTTGTTATTGCAGGAAGAGAAGCAGCTCTGATCTGCGGCCCTGGTTTTCTCAGTGTACACCAGCTGTTTGCAGCAGTCTGCCTGCTTCTCTCCTGCCTGGTTTTGTCTGTTCCCTTTGAGGCTGGCAGGCAGTTTCATCTTTGTTCCTGAACTCGGAATTAGTTCCCTAGGGAAACAGAACTGATGGGGTGAATATCATTCTGTGTGTGTGTGTGTGTGTGTGTGTGTGTGTGTGTAATGCATATATACATAGGTATGAATAGAATATATACACACCCACATTTATCCATAATGTGTGTGTATGTATACATATGTGTGGATAGAATGTATATATACCCACATGTATTCATAATGTATGTGTCTATATAAAATGTATATATACATATGGATAGAATGTATATACACCCACATATGTCCATAAAGTATGTGTGTGTGTATGTATATATTATATATTATATATTATTATATATTATATATTATATATTTTTTATATATTATATATTATATATATACATATATATGGATAGAAAGTATACACACCCACATATATCCATAATATATATGTGTTTGTATAATGGATATATGCACATATAGGATAGAATGTACATACACATACACACACACACACACAGACACACACACACATATGGTGTATTAGGGTTTCTATTTCTGCACAAAACATCATGATTGAGAAGCAAGTTGGGGAGGAAAGGGTTTCCACATTGCTGTTCATCACCAAAGGAAGTCAGGACTGGAACTCAAGCAGGTCAGGAAGCAGGAGCTGGTGCAGAGGCCATGGAGGGGGTATTACTTACTGGCTTGCTTCCCCTGGCTTACTCAGCTTGCTTTCTTATAGAACCCAAGACTACCAGCCCAGGGATGGCACCACCCACAATGGGCTGGGCCCTCCCACCCATGATCACTAATTGAGAAAATGCCTTACAGCTGGATCTCATGGAGGCATTTCCTCAAGGGAGGCTCTTTTCTCTGTGATAACTCCAGCTTGTGTTAAGTTGACACACAAAACCAGCCAGTACGTGTAGATAGAATGTATACACACATGCGTGTGTGTGTGTGTGTATGTGGTGTATATGAATATATATGTGTATGTGAATATATTCACATACATAAACATGGAAAGTGGATTTACTAGAATGGCTTACAAACTATGGTCCAGCTACTCCAACAGTGGTTATCTACCAGTACAAAGTCCAGTAGTTGTTCAGTACACAAGGCCAGATACCTCAGCTGATCTAGGTTTTGGATGAATACTGAAGAAGTAGGCTCTAATGCCTACCACAAACAATCTTGCCAGAGAGAGCAAGCCGGCAAAGAGAGCGAGCTTCCTTCCACATCCTTTATGTAGGTTGCCAGCAGAAGGCGTGGCCCAGATTAAACATGGAACTTCTTAGGTCAAAAGATTCAGATTAAATTAAGAAAAATCCTTCAGGGGTGTGCCCAGCTGCTTGGGTCTTAATTCATTCAGATGTAGTCAAGATGGCAACCAAGCATAGCTGTAGTGCTCCATGCAGCTGTAGAGAGGACCAATGTTAGGACCACGGTTCACACCCACACTCATCTCATGGTTGAGCAGCCACAGCGTTGTGTTCTGTCTCAATGTATTCTCCCATTCCTTGCCACCTTGGTAGGCTGAGAATGTCCGAAGCCTTCATATCCTGGTACGTTTGGCTTAATAACTAAGCCTTGAGCTCCTTTCTCCGTGATCACATTTTACCATGCAGGCGGTCCTCAGTTTTTTATCATGGCTACTTCCTGATAAAGTCATTGTAAGCTGAAAATACCCTGAGTCAAAAGAACCATCAAGTACCTTAGTCCATGGGCATGGTTGCTTAGCAACACCATACACAGTGGGCATCAGTTCCGGCTCCTGTTATTGGCCAGATGGCAGTTCACTGTTGCTGCCCGGCACCCCGTATTGCTATTCTGAGGTAAAGGATCAAAATTCAAAGTACAGTTTCCACTGAATGCATATTGATTTTTGCACCATCAGAAAGCCAAAAAGGCTTAAGCCAAAATATCCTAAGTAAAAAAAAAAAAAAAACCTCCTAAGTTAGAAGCTGTCTGTATGGAAAGCCCTGAGAAGCAACCCCCCTCCTCCAGCAATCTGTCCAGAAATTTTAGCAAAGTATTTGTTCACTTGCAAGTTCTACTTGCCACTAAAAACTCCAAGACAGACATGCTCCATCCGGGTCCTTCACCACTCCATACAGTGTCCTCTTTAACAGTATGTCCCTGACGTCTATCTGATTCCACCCCAGAATGGCCTCGACACCACTTTCCCTATCATCAATATTTTGTTATTTTCTTTAAAGGGTGTGTGTGTGTGTGTGTGTGTGTGTGCATGTGCGTGTGTGTCTGTGCATGTGTGACTGAGTCTGTGTACCACATATGTATCTATAGCACTCTTGAAGGCCAGAACAAGGTATCAGACCCTCTGGAAGTAGAGTTGCAGAGAGGGTTATGAGCCATTGTGTGGGTGCTGGTGTTAGTTGAAAAGTGGCTTGTTCCTGCACAGATCAGTTCCCACAAGAGAGATCTTTTACTGAAGAGGGAGAAGTGAGAAAGAGAGAGAGATGGGTTGGGGTCTCTGTCTTTTATTTGGGCTTTGATGTAGGTGACCCAGGTAATGACTCTCACAGGTGATGCGGATGAAGCATGTGCAGGGAATGTGCAGTGGGTTGCCATGGCAACAGACACAGGCCCTGTCCTTGTTGCCTAGGGATGACATCATCGCTGGATTCAGAGGCTAACTGTAAACAGCTTCGGATGCTAACAGCTAATAACTGAACTCAGGTCCTCTGCAAGCATAGCAGAGTCTGTTATTCACTGAGCTGTCTCTCCAGGACTCAATTTTTGTGATATGTTCTCTAAGAAGATGGAAGCTGTCTCTATGCCCCTGTTTTCAGAACATCTCCCAAGAATCTCCATAACGCCCATACTTGTTGCATACACTTCTGAATCCTTGATTTGTGCAGCTGCCCCCACATTGTTAAGTGCTCTCAATATAGCAGCACCTGCTTCTCAGTGCTGATGCCTCTCCTACTCTGCCTTGTAGCTTAGATTTTTTTCAAAACCTACTTTTAACATGGGTTCTTAAATGCTTTAACCTCCCTTCTAGCCCACCACCCACCAGAGGTAGTGGAAAAGAAAGGGGAAACAGACCTGTTTAGTAACCTTTCTTTGGAGCAAATCTAATCTGCATTGTCAGGAGATCAGCCGTTCAGTTCCAAAGAATCAACAGAGGCAGCTCTGTTGACTCGCAAACACTTCCCTGGGCAGTGGTGGCGCATGCCTTTAGTCCCAGCACTTGGGAGGCAGAGGCAGGCGGATTTCTGAGTTCGAGGCCAGCCTGGTCTACAGAGTGAGTTCCAGGACAGCCAGGACTACACAGAGAAACCCTGTCTCAAAAAAACAAAAAAAACCCAAACACTTCACAAATACACCAGCAGTTCAGTTCAGTACTGTCCAGATAGAAAACTTGAATCAGCAGCAGTAGCACATCCTTGCAGAGACAGCCAGGCCTCAGCTGAATTGGCACAAGTCAGCAGGGCTGATTAGGACCACTAGGGACTCCAGGAGAAGTTCTCTGTGCCTCTCTCAACGAAGTAAAGACCAGCAAAGAGTTGAGACCAAGAAGCATTACAAAGGTAAGTATGCAAGCCCCTGCCACTGTCCATTGGGTCCTATTTATACTCCCTCCAAACATCACATGTCCTTCATGGCTCTTGCCTCACCACATGTGTGAGTCTGTTGTAGCAAAACTCCAGATGAGTCTGTATCAGCTGATAGCACTCTGCCAATCAATCTGAGTCTGCAGATGCAGCAAGAAGCCCCAGAATGCCACCTAAGTTTTTTGGTATGTTTCTTTCTTGACAAGCAGAGCTCTGCAATGCAATGTAAAGTGGACTGATACATGCATGTTGTTAATGAAGAATCAATCCTTCATCATGCATCCTTTTACATGGTTGTTTTAGCAAAACATCCTTTCACCTGTGTCTGCTTCACAAGAGCATTCCTTTGACATGTTGACTTTCCAAAGAAACCAAAAGTTTCCACTTCACTGCCCGGGGTACTGGAATAGATCACCACAGACTGGGAAGCTTAACAAGAGCATTCTGTTTTCACTGGACCAGAGGCCAGAAAGACCCAGATGAAGTGCAGACAGACCCCACCATTGATGACTTGCAGGAGGCTTGTGCTCTTTTCTCCCCACCCCTTAAAAGATACTTATCTCACTTCAGAGCCCTACAATTGTGACCTCTTCTAACTTTATCTCCCTGGGGTCCCCATCCTACTGTGGATCAGGGGATCAACATGTGACTTTTAAAGGGAATGAGGATTTAAGTCTTAACAATGATTTTCCAGG